AAGCACTCCCCGCTGCAGCACGTGTTCCCCTGCCCCATCTGCCAGCACGTCTACAAGACCCGCAACTCGCTCCACAACCATTTCTCCATGCGCCACCGCGGCCTTAAGATGCCCAAGATGTAGAGATGCTGCATCCGGCAGACACACACGCGAGGATGCTGCCCTCCCCGCCCTCTCCCCTTCCCCCTCTTCATGTCTCTCTCTTTGTCTATCTCCCCCCCCCCCCTCTCTCTCTCTCTCCTGATCTATGTGATCTTCCTTCCTTTCCTTCTCTCTCCTTCATCCTCCTCGCTTTCCTGAACCGTTTAGTGACTTCCCATCCTCTCTCCTCCACTCTCCACCCCCCTCGCATTGCGAATAGTAGACTCAGAAAAAGAAGAGGAGGAGGAGGAGAAGGAGGAGGAGGAGGAGGTGTGAAGCGTTAGGTACTCCTGCCCATTGAGAGTGATGCCCCGGGCAGTACTCGTAGTGTGGAGACCACCACCCCTTTTTCTCCCCTCCCCCGATGCCCCACGCTTGTGTGCCCCTTGCCCTATCCCCCGCCCCCCCACTCCCCATCCCTCCGACACATACCTCACCGCGTCACCGCTCATACACCACCTCGCATCGCAGAGTGTTTGTATGTATGTGTGTCTGTGTGTGTGTGCGTCTCTCTTTGTGTATATACGTTACGTAGTGTATGTACATGTCCGAATGACAAATGCATAGTATTGCTAGGAGTTAAAGTGAGGCCGGCGGAGCGAAAGAAGTGAGTCAAAATTAAACAAACAAGTCAAATAGGCCAAGTGCAATATCTCTTGCCAAACTACACAAAGTTTGCAACGACGCTAGAAATGAATATACCATCTCTAAAGATCAAATTATAAATTGCAGTCTCGTGCAAGTGATATGCAACATCACGGAGGCGAAATGGCAATAGGGGAAGGGAGGGGATAACAGGGAATCACAATGAGGGAGGGAAGAGGGAGAGAGGAAGAAAAGGGTAATAAGGGGAGAATAGGGGAGATAGATTAGCATAGGGGAGGAGGAAAGGGGAAGAGAGAAGGGAGAAGGGGGAGTAGAGATAGATAAGGGGGGGGGGGGGCAGGGAGGCGGGGCAGTATAAGACAACCTTGTGAACATCCTGGCGAGCACGATGGTCCCGGATGTTGCCTCTCTCGCCCCACTGCTCCCGAGTATACGCCCTCCCCCCCTCCTCCCCCTTCTCCCTCTCTACCCTCCCTACCTCCCTTCCTCTAGCCCCCCCTTCTCCCTCTCCCCCTCCCTCACTCCGATCTCCTCTAACCTGTCTCTAAATTTTATCCCTCGGTGCCACTTCTCTCTACATCTCGAATTCCTGTCCGTCTCTCTTCTCTTCGCTTCTCTCTTCCTCCGTGTGCACTCGCTCTCTCGGCACAGTTCAACCCTTGTCTCTCTCCTGCCCTTCGTGCCCATTTCACCCATACACTCCCCTCCTTTCATCCGTCTCCTTCGTACTGCTCTCTCCTTTTCTCGCTTCCTTTCGTGTTGTCTTTCTTTCTCACTCTCATTTCTTTGCTCATTCTCTCTCTCTCTCATTCTCTCTCTCTCTCTCTCTCTCTCTCTCTCTCTCTCTCTCTCTCTCTCTCTCTCTCTCTCTCTCTCTCTCTTTCTGCTATTCTCTCTCTCTCTCTCTCTCTCTCTGCCATTCTCTCTCTCTCGTTCTCGTTCTCGTTCTCGTTTTCTTCTGTATTTTTTCTTCTTTATCCTGCTTTCCCCCTGTTCTCCTTATCCCCCGTTCGTCCCCGCCTCCTTCTCTACAGCAGCTGCCGAAAGAAATCCTCAGCACAGGAACCTGAAGAAGAAAAGTTGATCCTCATGTGTGACTCCTTTGCTTGATCCTCCTGTAGACTGTTATAGCTGGCGAGGGTTGGCTTTTGCTTTCGCTTCTTATGATTATAACCTTTTATTATATTTAAAAACAAAAAAAAAATGAAAAAAAGGTGATGTGAATGTGTGGCGATGTTGTGGTGATCCTTACCTGTTGCTGGCGGGGGTGAAGGCCCAGGAGGAGGAGGAGGAGGTGGTGGTGGTATCATCTCTTGATAAAGGAGGAAGACGTGGAGGGTAGAGAGAGAGAGAGAGAGAAAGAGAGAGAGAGAGGGTGATGCTTAGGTAAAGAAGAAGAACTGGAGGAGGAGGAGGAGGAGAAGGTGAAAGATTAGGAGAGAGAGTGAGGCTGGAGCGGAGGCTTTGTGTGGTTTCATAGTGTAACGGGCACACTGTTGTTGTCATTGCAGGCGTGGGCGGGGTACTGGTAGACAACAAGCCTAAGTGGCAGTGCCCCGTGTGCTACAAGTTACTGAGCACGAGGTCCAACTTAAAGATCCACGTGCAGGACAAGCACTCCTCGCTGCAGCACGCCTTCCCCTGCCCCGTGTGCGGCCACGTGTACAAGACGCGAAACTCCCTGCACAACCACATGAGCATCCGGCACCGCGGGGTCAGGATGCCGCCGCCCCCCCCGCACCCGCTGCCCTAGGCCTCTCCTCCCCCCCCACGCCGTCACCCTATCGCTGCCGCCGCCGCCGCCGCCGCCGCAACCAGCGCCCGCTCCATCTCCGACGGCGACTCCCGGCACGCCTCATCCTTCCCTCAGAGGGACCCGGGCCCTTCCAGCATCCATGAGGGTGACCTCACTCCCCTCCTCAACCTCCTAGGATGACCTTAAGCCCTGCCAAGTGCCACCTCAACAGCTACCTTCGACGAGAGGGTGCCAGACCCCCTCTCCCCCCACCACTCCCACCTCCACCTCCTCTTCCGAGGGCGACCTCGAGTCTCCCTCCACGGCGACGTCCTAGCCTCGCATAACGGCCTGCTCCCTCCTCCCTCCCCTTGCAGGCTCCCCGGGCCCGCCTGGAGGACGAGCGCGAGGACGAGGTGGTGGTGTTGGCGGTGGCGCGGCCTGGGCCCGTGTGGCCCGAGTGGCCCGTGTGGTCCGTGTTGCCTTGCAGGAGCCGCCAAGCCTGCCGCCCCGGGTGGCCCGTCGGCGGGCACCGGGCGCTGCCTGCCCAGGGCACGAAGGCAGTGACGCGTGTGCCTAGGAGCGCACGCGCAATGCACCTGGCCATTGCAGTTCGTGTACTTAAGGAAAGGAGGATCTTAATTGATGTTAATTAGATAATTAAGTGAATGTGACAGGGTTTTATAGGGTGAATTGACGTACGTGACCTTAGTGTTTATGGTGATTAACGTACAGAGCAGCTTCTGTGCGCACACGCAAGCGAAAGCGGACAAACACGCAAACACACACACATAACGGAAATGTCCCAGATTATGTATTCTAGATCGAATTGCCTGGCCGCCGTGCCTTGTGACGAGCGTGTAGTTGAAAATCGACACCGGCGCGCGTGCGCATGTGTATAAGTGGGGATGTGCATGCGTCCGTAAGCCCAGAAGCGCATACGGACGAAGGCCAAGTGAGGCTGTGAGTTAGAGAATGAGGAGTAGCTGTGACTTAGGCGAGGGAGTGAGACGGTGCCGTGTGGCGGAGTGAGTGACGTGTGGCTGAGGCGGTGTGGGTGTAGCCATGAGCCCTGCGAGAGTTCCGGCCGAAGTGGGCCTTGACACCTGCGGCCACACCCCTCCTCTCGCTTTTTATGCTTATTTTCTCTTTTTTTAATGGGCCTCTTTTTCCCCTCTCGCCCTTCGTATTCTTCGTCCCACTCCCCCCTCTCACCACTCGTAATTCCCTGTTCTTATTTCGTCTTGGTTCGATTCTTATTCACTCCTTGCCTTGCATTCTTTTGTTTTCAAATCTCCTTTCTTCGTATATATATTTTTTTCTTCACCCACTCACTCTTCCCTTCGTATTCTTTACTCTCTTTCACTTTTCCTCTGGTGTTTCATTCTCGCTTCTTCTCTTTCGCCGCCGCCGAGGTCAGCGAAGATTAGATTTTTGCAGCCGGAGGTTTGTGCTTGGTGATCGATGTGTTGTTCTGTGCTGAGTACCAACCGGCGACGCTGCGCCCTCTCTCTCTTCTCTTCTCTTCTCTTCTCTTCTCTTCTCTTCTCTTCTCTTCTCTTCTCTCTCTTCTCTTCTCTTCTCCTCTCTTCTCTTTCTTCTCTCTCTTCTCTTCTTCCCTTCCCTCCCATTTCTCTCTTTATATATATACATTTATCTAATCATCTGTTTTCTATCTTTCAATGTATCTATTTATCTGTCTCTGTTTGTCTCCATCGTTCTCTCACTCCTCTCTCTCCCTCATCACTCACTCACTATTACTCCCTGTCTCCCTCCCTCCCTTAAAATTATCTCGTTCTTATTTCGAAATAGCTTCCATATCTTCAGTCTCCCATGAATCGGCACAGTAGTTTGCGTGCATATGAAAAAAAAATACATAAGCAGACAGAACCAGCATGCACACACACATACACAAACCAGCACGCGCTTGTCGATGCACACGCGCATACAAATACAAGCACATACACCTGCACGCACGCATACCCACATGTTGACAATATGTTGTACCCTGATCGCTCGCAAACGAAGTCACTCAAAAAAAGAAATAAAAAAAGTAAACACGTTTTGCGTTTTTATAAGATGACAGGCACTTCGGGGCCTTAGTGTCACGAAAGCAAAAGGAGCATGTCAGTCCCCTAGTACAGAGGATCCGCACATGCAAGCGAGGTACTCCTAAGCAGATGACAGTGAGATATTTTTTAAGGTTTAGATTGTAGCTGTAGAGACACAGGCCGGATTTGATGTGCCGTGGCCTGTACCCAAGCCTTGTGTGCGTATGTGATTGGTTGGGCGTTTGTGTGTGTGTGTGGATGTCTGTATGTGTGCGTGACCCACGGATGCGTACGTGTGCGTTTGCATATATGTACACCATGAGTTGCCCCGTGATAAATATATGCTGGCCTCATGTCCCCCTCTACTCCAGCTTCCCCTCCCCCCTCCTGTGCCTCTTCCTTCCTCCTCCCCCTCTCCCTGCAGGCGCGTGAGGTCGCCAGTATACGAAGTGTTGCGCGAGACACTGTACTTACCACACAGGTTCCTCTTGTAGACTTTATAAGGCTATTCATTCCTGGTTTTAAGTAGGGGAGGGAAGAAATGGGAGATGATTATACATTATATATATATATTGTAAGATGTTACTGCCGTCTTGTAGGACGAGGTACTACTGTTAGCATTTACTTCTGAGTTACGAGTGTGCGAGGGAGTGAATGAGTGCGTGTTGATTTCACTGCCTGTAGCGAACAGTGGCTTGTTCAGTGATTGTTATTACGAGTTTAAGCCATACACCGCGAGGGAAGATCCGGGCGCTGCGAGAGAGAACAAAGAGATTCGGAGAAGAATCCCTGAATAACATCAAAGTTAATTCAATCACTCTCACAGCTGTCAGCTCCCCTCTTCCAGGAGTCTGTTACCGGGTTTTGTTGGCGATAAAGTTCCGGGTCGTGTTGTTGACAAACTATTCGTGTCACCCTTCGCCAGCCTCGTGTGTGAGGCCGCCATGACCATATGCTCCCACTACAATTAAAAATAACCATAAAAAATAAAAATAGATTAAAAAATATACGTAAAAAAAACATAAATCTGTCCTGCCTCCCTCCCTACCGCCAACCTTTCCTTCCATATACATATCCATTTTCTTGCCCCGATTCCTACCCTCCCCTCCTCCCCAACCATCACCCTCCCCCCCCCCTTTCACCCTACCCTCCCATGCCTTCCAAGCCAAGCAGGTGTAAGAAAAAAAAAATATGTCTTGGTGGTCACGTGATACGAAGAACCGAGTGTGCAGGTCCTTACGACGTGCAAAAAAAAAAAAAAAAGCGCGATGCCATTCTCCTGCTGTAAGCTTGGTACGAACACAGACCAGGATGATTTTGGTTACTGGATACCGCGGCGAGAGAAATGCCCTAAGCCTTTCTCTCTGTTTCTGTATGACTCGAGGTTATTGTGAAGTCTTAACCTGTGTGAAATGCTCAGTGGTAAGACTCGAAGCGAATGGTGTCGTCATTGTCTGGAGCTTTGAGGTGAAATTAGTATTGATTATAATGTCAACCAATTTTTATACTGTTCGTTTTTTTTTAAAGGCAAAGGCAACCATGTGATGCCGAGCCTGTATATGGTTAGGCTATTAAAGCGAGAAATGTGATTTAATTTGTTTATGACTAATTAAGAAAAAAAACCCAGAGCTGTGTACTGTTACCTTTTGTATTATTAGATGATTAAGGTGATTGTAAAATTAGCTAATTAACTTTACAATTAGGGAATTAAAAACAAAGAGCTGTGTGTTGCCATTAGGTGCATAAGTAGAGATAATGTGATGCCATATTAAGGTTATTGAATAAGAATACCGTGATGCCATTTTATAACTAAAATTATATCTGAGGTGTTTGTTGTGATGCCATCTATGTATAATTAGATACTAAAGGACACAAATGTGATGCCATGTTACTATTAGGTTACTGAAACGGAATGTGTTTGCGATTCCATCTTCACTGTATTTTAATTTATTTTTTAAAATGTGTAAAAAAAAAAATATATGTGATGCCAATTAGTCATTTAGAGGCATATATGGACAATGATGTCTTTACCATCGATTTTTTTAAAAGCAATTGATGTTATCACTAAGACAAAGGTGTAAAGACACAAAGATTGTGATTTCGTTCTATTAGCTGTAAGCGTAACTAAACATGTGATGCCAACTTGTATCTTTAGGGATGTCTGAAAAAAAGAAGAAATTCTATGGTACTTTCCCAGTCTTAATTAGGATATAATGATGAAACAAACACACACACAAAAAAAAACACTTGTGATGCTGCCACCCGATGTGTTAACTAGGTTTAAAGTGGAATTGCATGTGATAGGAACTGAAATGTAACCGATTGTGATAATATGCGTGATAGGTTGAGAACACCAGTCCCTTTACGAGCGTATCTAGTGTCGCCGGAGAGTTCATAACTGCAAGAATTGTTGTATTACACGTAGATGCCGTACGGTAATTCTCTCTATGTAAGACACATACACAATCCTTTTTTTTCGTGTATTTGAATGGTGTGGCTTGTGGGTGTTACCTTTTCCTTTTTTCTCTGAAATCTCTCTCGTATTTTTTGGTTGTTCAGTATGAAAAGGAAGTGAGATTTGGGTGGATGTGGGAATCAGGGAGGGAGGGGGGGGGAAGAAAGAGGGAGGGAGAGGGAGAGGGAGAGGGCGAATAAGGGGACCAATGGATGGATGGATGGGGTAGCAGGATGGAAGTGCAAGGTAGTAAGCAACGCCACAATAACCGGGTTGTAGAGCGTGATCCGGGTTGCGCAGCAGGAGGTCCTCCCCCCCTCCCTCCGCCCTCCTCCCTCCTCCTCCCACACCCCGGCCGCAGCCACGTCCGGGTCCCGCTCGTGTCTGGGACCTGGTGACCTTGTGCTGCCCCTGGAGTCCCCCTCCCTCCCCCCACCCCCCCGGCCCCCGTCTCCCTGTTCCAGGTCCTACATCCCCCCTCCCTCCATTCTCCCCTCCCCCCTTTTTCTTTC